GTGACTGATTTCGATAGAGCAAGTCACATTTGGTTTAGGCACGAAACATACTACCAGTAGAAATACATTTCTTTTAAAATCGCTCTGTGTCGAATCAATAGATTGTATTTCGTGACTATAACACGAAATGCCGTGAGTGCTTCATCCGCTTCATCCTCTGAACACCACAGGATGGCGACTGACATAACATAGGTACGCTCCTCTGAAATGATTGTCCCCTGCAATTATTATTATCCCTCATCGAGTTCGCTATTCAGCTTGCTAACGTTAGCTTAAACAAACGTAACATGCAACGTTAGCCTAATCTAAAATGCTCTACTACGACGTACCTTTCATGTGGCTCGTCAGCGCAGACTCTCGCATCGTTTCTTTTGCAAATTTTGCAGGAGGCTACTCGTGGGCTTGACCCTCGTTTAAGCCATGGCTTATATTTGTCTTCTGCTAGCCAACGCTCGTTGAAACTGCAACCTCCTGGCATACTGTCATCTATCACTCTCATCAGAATGCCCAGGTCACACACGTAACACAAACACTTGCCGGTCACGCACATAGCGCGGGAAGGCCGGAACGGAGATGTTTTATGTAAAAGCGAAGCGATTAAGCGCGCTCCGACTTCTTTATTTTTCTTTTAATCTTAAAAGCGAAGTAAAGCATTTACAATTTCAAGCACTTTATCCCAAATTCAAGCACCATTCCCAAAATTCAAGCACTTTTCAAACCTTGAAAACACCTCGTACAATTTCAAGTATTTTCAAGGATTTCCAGCACCCATACGAACCCTGTTTATAGCAACATTATGCAACTTTTTACCTTTATATAACTGCTTCCAACTCTAACTCTATGATAATGCAGCAATACATTGATTTTGGTAAATATATAGAATTCAACCCGTCCCAAAAAGATCGATAGTAAATAAGTGTTAGCTATTTTTTGAAATGTTTTACTACTTTACCTAGCTGTCAGGACCTGAAGGTGTTCCCTAAACTCCAGTCACAAACCACAAAACAGTCATTTTTACCTTGCGGAACACAGGAGTTTCTAGTCTACAGCTGCCCCCATTAGCGCATTTGATTTTGTTGTGTGACTGAAATACCTTTAAAAAAACACTATAATCACTGACGTACAGTAGGCCAAGAAAACACTTGAATAAAAAATAAATATGAAAAGCTTTATTTAATTTTTCTATGAAATCTATATGACAACAAACTATCACTTGTTGAATGACAGCCTACATTTGCAGCCTTGCCGTTTATCTAGCTTTATTTTTTACCTCATAAGCACCAACCAAAAAGATTCTTGCTCTCAAGCTTCAGTCTGACAGCAACATCCAGCTCATACCAGCCAATACACTAAAAGAGATTTCATTTTCACTCTTTGTAATGATATTTTCCATCCAAAAAACACAGCTGTAAGCAGCTTCTGGTGGTATGTTTAAATATTTTTAACTGGAAGGGCTCATGGCGGGCGCACAAAAAAGGTGAAGCAACTCTTTTTCTGGAAGTTGCTTCGCGCAAAAAAGACAAAGGCTCTCGAAATTGAAACACTATGTGGATTCAGGGACTTCCTGTAAAACAAGCCAAACTCACCATGTATCACCAGTACAGCCAGCTGAGTGCATCTCCATGCCAACAGGACCAAGGGGTCTTCGTTCCGATTGATGCTGAGGTCGGGGAAGTCGGGGTCGTCCCTCAGGAGCAGGAAGTGCGTCAGTGTTTTTTTGTACTGCTGAGTGATGAGCTCCAAGGTGCCGTCGGTCACCAGTGTGCTGTAACTGTCCAGGTGGAGGCGCTCGAGAGGGAGGCTGGGCTTCAGGACTCGGAGGAGCTCGGAGCTGTCGACCTCCAGGGCCATGAGGTACACTCGCAAGTTGGTGCTCGAACGAACCTGGGGAGGAGTAGGCAAACTTGAGTGGTGCACATGGAGACTTGAAAACAGCTAGATGAGTCTGGTAAATTCAGAAAATGACATCCTATTACAGTCATGCAGCCTTTAAAACCAGGAAGAAACACTTATTACCGTATGAGAAATCTGAGTTGATATATATTTTCATATCCCGATATTGGGGAACAAATAAACATATTGTATTACCAGGGATTTCCAATCTTCCTCCGTAGCGGTCCCTTCCAGCGGTTTGAACTCCAGGGCAGCGCCGTTGAGCAGCAGGGACAGGCGGTGCAGTGGAATTCGGCGCGGAGATGCTAGCAGAGCGCAGAGTTCGGACGTCAAATCGGAGAAATCCAGAGCCAGAGAACGAAGATTAGACAGACGACTCAACTCTGAGGGTGAGATGAGGGGACCTGAGGGAGATTCAGGAGAGGGCAAAGGTTGAATAAACATAACACATTACTAATGAATATCTAAGGCAGTATTTGACGGACTTGGACGTAAAAAATCTGTTGTAGTCCGAAAATGTTAAATCATAATGTCCGGTGAAAATAATTCCACTAAGCACAATTTGAAGTATATTAAAATAGACAAGTCGGCACACAGACCTATATGTATGTTGGTCTGTTTACAAATGGTTTTTATTATATTTTACTTATTCATGTTTTTGAAAAGCCCACTGATGTTTTATTGGAAATACAAAATCGACATGCCTCGCTGGTGTAATTCTTTATATAGCCTTCCTATCAATTGTTTTATAGCTTAATAACAAACACAGATAACATTTAACTGGAATATCTTGTTGGCAGCAATAGAATATTCCCAAACATGTAGAATGGCACTAAAACACTGTTCTATGAGAACAACTGCTAATAATTGAAATGAATACAATCGATTTGTTTTTATTCTATAACTGCATTTAAACTGTTACAGTCAAAGCCATCCAGAATGACACCAACACATACCTAGCTGGTGGTCCAGTAGGCTGAGGTGTCGCAGGGTCTCAGCTGAGGGGTTTGACAGACAGGCGAAGGAGCAGGGAGTCACCAGACCCAGCATGAAGCTACAGGACAACCACCTCAGCTGCCTGCTGTTAGACAGCAGCTCCATGAACAACTGCTGGATTCTGCAGAGAGCACAGGGGAGGGGAATTAGCTCATACTCACTTTAGCAACTGGATTACAGCTTCTTGACACCATAAAAGCAGTATATGCCCAAATAAAAGAAAATCTGAATCTCCAGGTAAACCTTGTAGATGAAGAATTAAAAAAAGGGTCACTATATATTTGTGCCAAGTGAAATATGTGCGGGTAGTCCTACAAAGCAGAACATATGAATCAACATGATATGTTCATGTGATGCCACCCACCTCACTACCACAGAGCTGCAAAACAAACCCTCACTGGCTGCTATGAATAGGAAATACTGATGCGATAATAAGAGGAAAGGCAATTGAAATGCTGTGTGTTCTGCTCTAGATCAGTGGTTCCCAACCTGGGGGGCGCGCCAGGCCCCAGATGATTTGAGGCCAAATATCATATTTAGACTTTTTTTTTTTAACATATAATTGTAACGCAATACATGATTGTTGCTAAAAAGCCTTGTCTCTACATTACAATAAAATATAAAAAATAATTGATTAATTAATTTGAATAAAAATGCAAGTTAGTAGCTATTAAAGGCATAAAAACACAGCAATGTATAATTCTTTCTTTAATAGAAATGTTTCTTCTGCCCGTAAAGTGTCCAAACCAGGCTTTTCTGGATAAGCGATTTTTAAAACATAGTCATTGTCCATGCCGGTTTCAGTTGGATTATTTGTCACAGTTGCTTCGATCAGATCGGTCTCCTCCATTTTGTAGATTATTTACTTTGAATCCGCATAAACACATTGGCAAAATCCGGCTTATTTTGAGCTTGTGTTTTAAACAGTTTAATCCCTTTGTGAATTGTTTCCACTTGCGCCGTCCTTTAATTTCTTCATACAGCGGGAATCCAAATGAATTAATCCTGAGTCCAATAACCATCAAAGTCACTCCAATAGTGCTCCTTAATTACGCTTTCATCCTCCTTCAACAAAATACTTCACATTCATCCAGTTTGTGACAGTAGTAGTAGCATTTGTTGACACTTTTAAACTTTAATTGCCG